TTATAATTCTTTGCTTTAATCTCAACCGTCAAATTCAAGATTCTAAGATTAGTACAGATTTTTTTTTTAACAATGATTATCTATGTGAAATAGCGCCTTGGGTGTAGTAGAAATTATTTAAGAATATTAGGAGGAAAGGGGAAACAACAGGAAATGATATTCTTCCACACAACCCGTTTTTATTTGATTAGTTTTTATTTACTTTGACCCGAAATTATGATGACTATGTGGACGTTCTGCTCTACTCGCTTTGCTCCAGTCGAACTAAATAATTTTTTATAAAAGTATTTTATGATTTTTTTATTAATTTTTTAAATCTAAATCTCACACTCTTTAAAAAAGTTTTAATTGAATTTTTCTACTCAAATTCTTGCCCTCTTTGATTTAAAAAGCACTTTAAAGTGTTAAAAATGGAAATAATAATAATAATAATTAAAAGACGAGTCTAAAACATGAACGGATGCAAATCCTTAATTTTATTATTTTTTCCTTTCTTTTTCTAATTGTTACATTGATTTTTTTTTAAAAAAATTTATTCCCAAATTTATATATCAATTCTCAATTGAATACTAAACCCATAAATTTTGTCAATTAGATTCCGAGTGCTTTAAAAAATTCTCAATCAAAATCTTCTTGTTTGTATTCATCAATATATTGATCAAAGTTTTTTCAAATAATTATCATTTTAATACATAAATATGTACATTAGGCTAAAAATATCAATGCTCATTAACTTTTTTTGGTCAATTTTTCTTTAAATAAACACTGTTTTAGTACATAAAAATATACACATCAAACAAACTATAAATTCATAAAAGAACGGATTTGAGAAAATATAAAAATATTTAGGACTTCATTAATAAAATTTATAAGGTTGGGATGTAATTGAGAACAATTATATAGGAATAAGTATATAGGTTTTGGAGTTCTCCTGCTATCTTTTATCCTGAAAAAAATGATCAACGTTAACTGATAGATGTCAAAAAAAACCTACAGTGGGCCTGCGGTCAATTTCAGTGGCTCAATCAGCATTGATTATTTGATATTACTATGTAGGCTTTCATCACGCGCCAACAAAGTCGGTCCAGAACATGTTGAACAAAATAAAGCTGAGTTAAGCTGGTGCGTGCTATTAAATAATAGATCCGAGCGTGGGATGGTACTGCGGCTGAAATTCCAACAATGGCCAATTGGCAAATGGCACGGGAAAACACGACGTCGTTATCGAATGAGGAATTATCGTTGCGTTGAAATTGACAGATGATTAAAAAAAAAAAAAAAAAAGCCACATGACTTTCCATGTTAGATTAATTTGCTACGTGGCAAAAAATAAAAAAAATAAAAAATAATCTAAAAAAATAAAAAAAAAAGAAAAAGAAAGAAAAGATCTTTTTGACGCAAATGTTAGGAGATAAATTATCTGAAAACTAATATTTAAAATAAAAATCATAGACAAGCAGCAATTGAATCAGAAACCACCCAATCTAAAGCTTCTTTTACAAATTCAAACCAATCCATTAAAAGCTAAATCCTCCTACCCTTCTTCTTTGAAGTTGATGATGAAATTGAAATCCTCAGAATCATCCATGCCATAAAAAAGCTAAATCTAATGTGCAAAATCAATAAGATGAATTCGAAATGTTAAGACTTCAATTTTCTTCTTCGGATAATTTCACGCGAAGAACATATATAAACATAGAGCCCAGATTCTTAGGAGCATGTATAGCATAAACCATCTTGTCATGCTTTTGCTGTATAACCCTTGGACACATCAGAATCAAATTTGTGTACCCTATCAACAGCTTTAGATTGTTTTATGTACTGCGATAGAGCCATTTAGGTCGCTTTTAAAGGAATTCCAAGATGTGGGAATTGTCGAAATGGTTGGCTTTCAAAATTTGGACTACAGATTCGGTGTTTTGTTCTTCTCGTCCAGTTGAAGCTTTTAGGGAAATGAAAGAGTTGATTGTAAAGGAAGCTCACCTGAGTTGACAAGGAATTCGACCGTGTTGGTCGTTGGCACTAATAAAGTTTAGAAAAGTCTAGGAATCTCGTATATTGAAATCTGGAGGAGAGATAAAGACAGAAGAGTTGATTGTAAAGTTTAGCAATGTTCATCTGGTATATTAATTTTGTTCCTTTTTTTTTTTTTTTAATTTTTGCTACGTGGCAAGAAAAACTTGATTTGTGATGACACAAAATAGTTATTTTTTGCCGGTTGTATTTTTTTTTATCGAAAAACAATTAAAAAAGTTAAATTAAGAAAAACTGAAAAATATAAAGAGGATTTGAATAAAAAAATGCAAGGGTTATATTAAAAAAAATAAATAAAAGAATGTTTGATGCAATTAACCCAACGCATGGAATATTCCTGAAAAATTAGCATCAATTATGTGTGGCCGAAATTTGATAAATTTATCTAAAATCCGACAATTTAGGAATCTATTTTCTTTTGTAACGCTACGTTTGGTGTAAGTAATATAATGACTTAAAGTTTATAAATGTACAAATTCTCTATTTATGTTAAATTAAGGACAGGTTGTTTGTTGATCGAAAAAGGAGTGACGTAAAATTTGGCAGACGCACTGAAAGATGTTTATGGCTGAAGAGATGCCCCACAAATCCCATGAATTATTACGAAAGACACCAAAAATGAATAATCTTAAATAATTATAAGACACGGCATTGCTTGAGATGCAGCCGCCAACAGATCACACGTACCATTTTTACTTCTCTTATTATTCACCCTCTATCTTTATTTATTGAATTTAATTAATAACAGAGCAAGCCGACCTTATCTGTATTTTCATTTTTTAGATTTAAATTATCATTTCGTAGAATTACTCTCTTCCTTTCTTACATGGCCAATCCAATGCTGACTTGCCCTTATTGTATAAAAAAAAAAAAAAAGGAAGTTGTGGTAAACGATAAAACAAGGAGGTCTAAAACATAATTTTTTTTTATCAATATATAAAATTTAAATTTTAAAATTATATTTGTTAAAAAAAGATAATATTAGTTTTATCTCTAACATAGAATGAAGATATTATTTGAAAAAACTAAAAACAAAAAAAAAATCAAGTCTTGGCTTTTAATATAAACATTTTTTTTTTTTGAAAAATTAATTTTGAAGACATATATATACAGGGGACAAGACTCAACCCATCTTGTATCTTGTTCGCATAATCTCAGTTAGATATGTAATGTCTCTTGAATTTGATTGCATCCAGAAATCAGTTTCCAACTAATTATCCTACTTCTTTTGTAATAATTTTTATAACTTATTTTAGTTACATTTTTTTTTCAAAGAGAAAATATTGTTTGGCCTATCATTCTAATCAGAATAATGCTATTTTATATGACTGTCTTATTAAATTTATTTATCAAAAAATATCAACGATTAGATTTAAAAAAATTACTAATAAAATTTACTTATTTAATAAACGAAATATTTTTTTTTCGATAAGTAAATTCTGTTAAATAATTATATAAGAATAAAATTATTTTTCTGAGACAGGTTTACAAAATAATTACTACGAAAAGGAAAAAAAACGGCAATGATATGAAATGACTAAAGATTTGCAAATTTCTTGCTTATGATCAGACACCTAATCAGTTAATATGCCCCACTGATTAACTTAATATATACTAATCAATGTTATCTCTATTAAGCTAAGAAAGAGCCTTCCCCATATACTTATTATTTACTTTTTCACTTCAATCATTCTTTTTTTTTTTTTTAAATACCATAGAAAAAAAACCATATTTAAATCATAAAAAATATAAGAAGGTTCGATTTTTTTTTATTTTCTTTTTTTAATTTATTTTTCTGTATACTTTTTTTTTATGTTTATTTTTTCGTATGAAGTAAATATTGGTAGTTATTGTCCCGATGATATATAATTTTTTTTTCACAAATACTTCAATCGTTCAATAATAAACAAGTAAAAATAGCAAAACCGAAATAAAAAGAGAAAAATGGTCTAGCTAATAAAGTTCTAATCTTTTCAATATGCAAATGGAAAAAAGATAAAGCCTCTAGCTTATGTAACAACAACACTCCCTTTATTTGCTTTCCTTCTTTATAGTCTTAAAATGGCACCAAATTTTGTCTGTTAACTCTTCGGTCACTGAAAGTTCTGTTTTTGTCTGCGCGTAGTCAATAAGGTAACAGCCAAAAAGACACCTGCATCAAAAGCACTTCACCTTTGGCTCTCTTTCTTTCTGTTCTGTTACAAACTCCCTTCGTCTCTATCTCTCCGTCTTTATACTTCAAAAACCGACTTGGGTTTGTTAATCTCTGGTTTTCACTTCATGGGTTTACGTTAGATTTTTTTTTTTAAATGTTTTTCTTGGGTCCTGTGGCTGAGATTGAAGTGACCCCACTTATGAATTTAAATTTTTAACATTTTGTCTCTGCTTTCATTACTGGTTTTGTTTGGATGAGTTGTTTTTGAGCCGTTCTGTCCTAAACTGAGTGTCTCTGTTTTGTTGGATAATTGTTCCTTATTTGGTGTGTTATCTTTTTGGCACTGAATTGAAGTGTCATAAAGCTTCAATTTTGCTTCATTATCAGCCTCTTTTGTTCAAAAGTCTGTAGTTTTTTTTCCTTTCCAACTTTTTGATGGATGTCAATTTCACAGTCTAATTCTGGTTTTTGAAATAAATCTAAGTAAATATTAATTCTTTATTTTATACCAGGTTTTTTTTCTTTTGTTCTATATTTTAGTGGTAAGTTTCAGTTCTTTATTGGATTTGAGGCTGTATTTGAAGTAAAGAGTGGATTTTTAAACTTGGGTTTCCATTTTTTTTTTTTTTTTTTGTAGTTATTTTTTTTTATATAAAAAAATTCATATTGGTTTTGTTTTTGGGGCTCGGAATCTTGGTGCTGGTTGAAGATTATTTTGTGTGGACTTTATGGTTTTTAGTTTGTATATATAGAGAGGGGGAGAGAGAGAGGGAGAGAGGTTGGATTGCTTGGTGAAAGCTAGAGAATTCATATGGATTTGAGCATGGAAATGACTTCAAGAGTGGAAGTTGAGGAAGATAGCGATAACAATAAAGGAAGTATGTGGGATTTGGATCAGAAACTTGATCAGCCCATGGATGAGGAAGCTGGAAGGCTCAGAAATATGTACAGAGAAAAGGTAACTGGAGTATTACCATTGCCCTTCTCTCGCTCTCTCTCATGCACTCAATTGCAGACTGCAAACTACTATATAGAATTCAGTTGTGCTGGTTGAAATCAGACAAAACATACTCCTTGTTAATGCCATTTTTCCTGGATGGGGTGAAGTGATTTAGAGGCCATCTCTTACATCTGCTTGAATTTTCATTTGCAGAACCTTTCGACCTTTTCTTTAAATCACAAATGAATGAATTTAATTAATTATAACTTCGTAATAAGGATGCTGACATTTGTGCATGTCTATGTTTATACGCTTGCATAAATGAGATTTCTAATGCATAGATGTACTAATTATTGTTTTGTTAAATCAGTAGATTTTGGTGATTTGATGATGCTGATTTTGGTTTGTTTGCTAATACAAATTTTGGTACTTTCAGAAGTTCTCAGCGCTTTTGCTTCTACGGCTTGCCTTCCAGAGTCTTGGAGTGGTGTATGGAGACTTGGGCACTTCTCCCTTGTACGTGTTCTACAATACATTTCCTCATGGAATCAATGATTCAGAGGATGTGATTGGAGCTCTTTCATTGATCATATACTCGCTCACTCTTGTTCCACTCCTCAAGTATGTCTTCATAGTGTGTAGAGCAAATGACAGCGGTCAAGGTAAACCAGTTTCAATGTATATGACTTGTGAATTGTGTGTACTGCTGAATACATGTAGCTCTCATTTTATGGATTTATGATTTTGATAAGTGAATTTATAGTGCTATACCTAATGATGTACTGTGATGAGTTCTTCCATTTTTTTGTGTACATCCAAATTCCAATCATAAAGAAAATACCATCAGAAGAAGCATGGATGCTATCTGGATGTTTTCTCCTTTTTGTTGCTCGAATATTAGTCTCTTCATAAATTTACTTCATTTCTGTGGTTCTCCTTGCATTGCCATAGATTTTGATAGTTGACAATGTAATTTATGGAGTTTTATGTGTGATCAATAAGTTGCTTCATTACCTTTTCGATAAGTTTTGCCTGATATATCCTGCGAACAGAAAGAAAACTATTTGTTAAGACCTTTTTTTAAACATGCACAATACAGTGATGTTCTTGCAAGCACTACATAAGAATCTCATGTTTCAATGATGATTTTGAATTTGCATGCATATGTAATTTTTCCTGCATTGACGTTGATGAGTCACGCTGGACTGGAACTTATCTTCTTCATTGCACAGGTGGAACATTTGCCCTCTATTCATTACTTTGTCGGCATGCTAAAGTAAGAACTATTCCAAATCAACATCGGACAGATGAAGAGCTAACAACATATAGCCGTTCCACTTTCCATGAACAATCATTTGCTGCTAAAACTAAGCGATGGTTGGAGAGATATACATTCAGAAGGAATGCGCTCCTTATTCTTGTCCTTGTTGGCACTTGTATGGTGATTGGGGATGGAATTCTCACTCCAGCAATTTCTGGTACCTTGATGCCTAACTCGTAAATTTTTTCCATCTGTCTGTTCATATATAGAGTTCTTATTGCGTTGCATATAATATCTGGGTGTGATTTCATGTTTGTGCATATGTTAAAACCTTTCAAAAATTTGCAAGATATCTAGTGCTTATCCTGGGAACAAAACATAGTGGTTTGTTTTAATTTGTATTTTATAGTTTATTTTAATAAGTGCCCTCTTAGTGCTTCAATGTAACAACATATCTTTATCCATTAGAATGTTTTTGATTTATTCTCATGAAATGGTATTTGGATGCTTGGTTTACTATGGGATCCGTGGGTAAATAAAACCAGTTGATGTGTTGATACCTAAAGTGTGATTAAAGGATAAAAGCTTCATGTGACCATTTGGTATATGGCATGTACTTGTGGTAAATATGTGGTCATATAGAGTGTTTCTTTAACTGTTAGTTTATAATAGTCTTAATTTATTTCAATTCCCCTGGAAATGCTTAACCACACTTCTATGACAGTTCTTTCAGCTTCTGGCGGGATCAAGGTAAACCATCCCAAACTGAGTAATGGTATCTTCCTACTCCTGAAACTCATAAAAACCTTGTCTTTATTTTTTCCTCTCTGCAACTAATTGTGTTTATTTTTGCCTCAATTTTCTGGCAATTCGAAGTTGTGAATCTTTAATCCAATCTATTTTCTTTGGTGCAGATGTAGTTGTAGTTGTTGCGGTCGTAATATTGGTGGGTTTGTTTAGCATGCAACACTACGGGACAGATAAAGTTGGCTGGCTCTTTGCCCCAATTGTGCTGCTTTGGTTTCTCTTGATTGGGGGCATCGGCCTGTTCAACATCTGGAAATATGATACTGGTGTTCTGAAAGCTTTTTCACCTGTATACATTTATCGGTATTTCAGACGAGGAGGTAGAGATGGTTGGACCTCCCTTGGAGGGATTATGCTCAGTATCACTGGTAATTATCAAGATAAATTGGTGGCTCCATACTTGTTTTAAATTTTTGTACATAAATACTTTTTCTGCCCTAATGTTTAAACCTTTTAACATTTATTAATATAAAATCTAAGATCATGGCAGTATACTGACTTTTATTATCAACTGGTACAGGTACAGAGGCACTTTTTGCTGACCTAGCCCATTTTCCAGTTTCAGCTGTACAGATTGCTTTTACAGTAGTTGTTTTTCCCTGCCTTCTTTTAGCATATTCAGGACAAGCTGCTTATCTTATGCAAAACAAGGACCATGTGGTTGATGCATTCTATCGTTCTATTCCGGGTAAAAATTCTTTCGTAGTTGGATTTCCTAGACTTCTATTGTTGCTTTTTTTTTTTTTTTTTTTCCTGATTCCTTCTCATCCGTCTATTACTATCTTGCTTCATTTCTTGCAACTTCTTTTAGTGAAGTGCATTTAATGAAAGCATTTTATTGTTATGCGATTCAAAAATAGAGCAAGAGAAATAGTGAGAGCTCATAGTAACAATATGAGCTCTCTTGCGTAGGCTGTGAATTTTGAGGCCTGTACTAATTGTTCAGTAAGAAATGAAATTTCTGGGTAGTTCTCCTTCAAGGAGTGATCTTGGGGATTAAGAATACCTTGCAACTCAAGGGAGACTGGGAAATCTGGTGTTTGAATGCTCAAATTTTTCAATTTACAAAAATTTATGTTGGCTCACTGTTAGGTTGTGGTGAAACTCACAGATATGGTATGGTAAGAAACGATTCTTGGTCACTGAAAACCATTGTTTGAAAATTTATTATCCCAGTCGTTTGAACAAATTGCTAGAATAGCTTTCATTTGGAGAAACTCACAGACATGGTTCGACCATCAAAATTTTTGGGACCAAACTCAAAGAATTGTTTCCTGTGTTGGCCAAAGTTTTATTTTTTAATCCTCTTGACTTTTCAGACCTATATAGCTCCATTTTTTCAATAAATTACTTATTGTTAGTAAGGTTGTGATATCATCCTCACACTAGTCTTGCTCTTCCCAAAGAAGCAAAATTTTGATAAAGGTAGTGTCAACAGTCAGATGCTAATCTATACTTTTTCTTACATGGCAGATAGTATATATTGGCCAGTGTTCGTTGTTGCAACTGCAGCTGCTATAGTCGCAAGTCAGGCTACCATATCGGCAACGTTTTCAATAATCAAGCAGGCCCTTGCACTTGGATGTTTCCCAAGAGTCAAAGTTGTACATACATCAAAAACTTTCCTAGGCCAGATATATATTCCAGATATGAATTGGATCCTTATGATTCTTTGCATCTGCGTCACTGCTGGTTTCAAGAACCAAAGTCAAATTGGTAATGCTTATGGTAAGTTTATCGAAGAGTGTGATCTCTGTGTGGTTGGACAAGTGGTATGAAATTAGGTCAATCCATCTTCTTTTATTCTTGATTTCCACAACCAAAAAAAAAAAAAAAGAGAGAGAGAAAGAAAGAAAATCTCCTTTTTTCCTGCTAACCTTTTAACCATTATCATGGCACCTTTCCTAAACTTTCTGGGAACAAGTTCCAAGGCTTAAAAATGTGTTGGGGAGAGTAACAGGAGTTTCTTGCTTAATGTAACTAGTGATAACTAATCAGATCTAAGTCAAATTTCACTGGGCAGATTTTTCTCATATATTTTGATTCATGCATGCAACTTTTTTTTGTCCCCTATGATATGCTGGTATATTTCAATTTTTGTTTATTATGCATTGTTCTAAATTGAGCAAAATCTTGCAACAACAGGGACAGCTGTTGTGATAGTCATGCTGGTAACCACTTTGCTTATGATTCTAATCATGCTATTGGTGTGGCGCTGCCATTGGATTCTTGTCATGCTCTTCACTGGCTTATCACTGGTTGTAGAATGCACCTACTTCTCTGCTGTACTCTTCAAGATTGATCAAGGTGGGTGGGTTCCCCTTGTGATTGCAGCGGCCTTTCTGATCATCATGTATGTTTGGCATTATGGTACATTGAAACGCTACGAGTTTGAGATGCACAGTAAGGTTTCTATGGCATGGATTGTAGGCCTTGGCCCCAGTTTGGGGCTGGTGAGAGTCCCCGGGATTGGACTTGTGTACACCGAGCTGGCGAATGGGGTCCCCCACATCTTTTCTCACTTCATCACAAATCTACCTGCCATACATTCTGTTGTTGTTTTTGTCTGTGTGAAGTACCTCCCTGTCTACACAGTCCCTGAAGAAGAGAGATTCCTTGTCAAGCGGATTGGACCAAAGAATTTCCACATGTTTCGTTGTGTTGCAAGGTATGGATATAAAGACCTTCACAAGAAAGATGAAGATTTTGAGAAAAAACTCTTTGATAGCCTCTTCTTGTTTGTCCGGCTTGAGTCTATGATGGAAGGGTGTTCAGACTCAGATGAGTATAGTTTATATGGTCAGCAAACCGAGCGGTCGAGAGAAGCCCTTTTGAATAATAACGGCAATACAACTTCGTTTGCAGATCCCACTATTTCATCCATTGACTCGATTGTGCAGATCAAGTCTCCATCACATGCAAATTTTACCATGAGGTCGTCTGGTCAAACAAGCAGCCAGACGGAGGTTGATGAGAGAGATTTTTTGAATAATTGTAGGGATGCTGGAGTGGTGCACATAATGGGGAATACAGTTGTGAGAGCTAGGAGGGATGCAAGATTCTACAAAAGGATAGCTGTTGATTACATATATGCATTTCTTAGGAAAATTTGTAGGGAAAACAGTGTGATTTTTAATGTTCCTCATGAGAGTCTCTTGAATGTGGGACAGATATTCTATGTATAATTTTTTTTTTTTTTTGGAAAACAGTTGATAAGAGCAAGCAAAGTATGTCTTTTGAATGAATCAGGCGATATGTCGTCTTTAACGCCGATTAAATTTGAGAAATACTGGATTTTAGCAGTGTAATATAGTGCAATGAGAAATGGTTGAAAAAACTGAAAACTTGCTGGAATTTTCTCTAGAAATTTGGACCCAAAACTTGCTTTCCAGGTTTAAATCTATGCTGATGACCAGAGTTGTATGTTCAGCGGAAATACTAGCCTTAAATTAACTCAGGACAAGAGACAGAGTGAAAAAAACATTAAATTTATTTTATTTTATTTTTTTATGGTGAAAGATTGTTTGTTTTCTTTGGCGAGGACACGTGAGAGCCATTGTGGCACACAGACTGGTATTCTTTTTTTATTTTATTTTTTGTTCGGACTATGCATTAGATGTATTTGGAGTCATAATTTTTTTTTTTTTTAATGAAAAATAAGTTTCAGATCAGCTGTTCAAATAAACTGATTCTCGATATGAAATATTATTTATTTTATATTTAAATATATTTGAAAGAAACGGTACCGCATCTATGTTAGAGGAAAAGTTTAGAATACTTTTGTGAATGGATCTAATTGGATATATATATATATATATTTGTCACATTTCCAAGAAGTGAGTGACAAAATTCAAAAAATGAGACTTCCAAGCTAAATAAATCTTCCTTTTACCACCTCAGCTAACCTCTTAGAGGCAGCTAGGGCTCTATTGGAACTGGACTTGTTTTTTTCATTCGGGTTTAATTGTTTTGTTTTTCCCGCTTGCTTTGCTATGGACATCTTTTGGGCCTACTCTCTTGATTTAATGGGCTGAACATACTTTTCTATGTTGTTCTACTCAAACAGGGTGAATGGAAAAAGTTTTGGACAGGTCGAGACCTCCGCATCAACAGGGTTAGGCTTATGTCATAGTCCACCTGAACTTTTTCTTTTTATATATATATTATAAAAAGTATATAAATCTTATTTATGAAGAAATAATTATATATATATATATATATATATAATTATTTCTTCATAAATAAGATTTATATACTTTTTTCCCCTAAACATCATTATTAAAAGAAATGGCTAATGAACTGATGAAAAAAATGGATAATTTAAATTTTGTACAAAATCTTTTTTACTAAGTTACGAGACATTTGTTATAGAAAATGGGTTTTCAATTAAATAACGAAATATAAATCTTATCACATTTAACGATGCAATGATAGTTACAAAAATATTAACTAACAAATCCTCAATTATGTATACCATATCATGTAATAAAAAAAATTTAGTATGTCTAGCATTATCCTAAAAGAATTTAAACATGATAGGATATTATACATTTTACAAATTTATGTCTAAAGAACTCTCACCCTATATATGTCGAAATTGAAACGTATAAAATAATTTTGTCAAATGAGTTTTGATGTAAATATATCGCAAAAATAATAAATCAATAATTAAACTTAAATTCATTACTGAAGATTAAATGAGTTTTCTTCTTATAACCTAAACCAACAATTAGTGACAAGACCTTTTTTTTTGTCCTTTTAATTCATCATTTGATCGTTCATAAACATATTTTTATTTATAAATGTTTCCATTAAGGTGAAGGCATGGTTTTTAAACTTGACATGGGACATGATTCATTGAAGTGTCCAAACCACTAGGGTATTGGGTTAATCCGCAAGCCATCGGGGTTGATCCATAGTTTAATAGCAAATTTTACTCTTATTTTATTTTGATTTGATAATTTCAGATTTTTAATATCAATTTGTATAATTTGAATCTAAAATATTAGTTTTTCAGCAAAATTGATCTTTTTTTTTTTAATTGTCGTTTTATATAATGGTCTACTTGGATTGATTGTTACTTGAAATGTCAAAATAACATCGTTTTGATATTTCGTCGTTAATTGTTTTTTAAAAAATATTTTTAACTCCTCTAATCTTGAACTTTTTTAAAAACTTTTTTGCTTATAAAATATTATAAACATTTATAAGTTATATAAAAGATATTTTTAACCTCTAATTTTGAATTTTTAAAAAAACTTTTAAAAAAACATTTTATAAATTAAAATGAGCATAATTAAAGGTTGAACCCCCTAATTTTATAAATTATATAAATTTTTTTATAAAATGTTTAAAGTATTTTATAAAAAATTTAAAAATGTTCAAAATTAGGAGAGGTTAAAAATATTTATAAAATATTTTTATATAATTTATAAGAAAAAAAGTTTTCAAAAAATTCAAGATTAGGAAAGTTAAAAATATTTTAAAAATATTTTTTTAAGAAAAAACATAATCGACGTTGGTTTGATATTTCAAGTAACGGTCAAATAACAATTAGAGAAATTGAATTGTTTTTTTTTAAATCAATAGTTTAGAATTGAAATTACATGATTTGATATTAAAAACCTAAAATTACCAAATTATAATAGAACAAGGATAAAAATGCCTTCAAATAGTTGATTCAAAGTTATGGTTTTTCCAAGTCTAAAGGCAAAAAAAAAAAATCAAAAATCAAAATTTTTTATTTTTTATTTCGTTAAATAAGATTAATCATTGGCTCATCCGATTCGATCGGATCAATCGAATTTAACCAGGGCGATGGCGTGGTTGATTTGACTGGAAATACCGAAATTGCCAGATTTTTAGGTCAATCTGCCAATCCACTGGACCACAGTTGTCGACTATGGGTGAAAGTATCATCACTAGCCATGTCTAAACTTGTAAGGATTGGGCTACTGTATCATCATCCTTTTATTAAGTTTGCAAAAGATCCCAAATTACATTGCGCTTTTGGATTTCTCGGTCAAGGAACATGAATCAAATTAACACCTCATAGGGTACAATTTGGGAATAAAGAAGGGAAGAAGAATTATTCAAGAACTACAGAAGAAGAAGCAAGAAAGAAACTGAGAAAAAATCCAATATGATTCAATTCCCCATTTTACAACAATTAACAAGCCCACCAATAATAGTAGTACGAGTAGCATTTCTTAATTGGTCTACGCATACCATAAAAAACATATTAACCAAGAATTTTACACATAACAAAACCTTATTTTTTAAAGTACTTATCATCAAGGGTTAATTTAGGTGTAATATTTAAGGTTCACTCTATGAATGATCTTGGCATTAATCATTAAAAAAATAAATAGGAAAAGAATTAATTAGAAAAAAGAATTAATGAGAAAAATTATTGAAGTTAAAAATGAAAAAGACTATTGTGAAATTATAAAAGAAAAAAATTTCTTACTCTATTTTTCTTGTTTAGTCAAGACATGCATATAAAAAGAAATAGTTTGTATTTCTTTTTGTGTGTAGTTGCTGACGGAAAGCAAATTGGAGAGGAAAAAAAACGATGGTTTGTCTTCTTTTTTTTGACAAATTTTATTTAAAAAAAACACTCAATTTTATTAAACAATGGGTGTTGCTCTATTGTAAATAAATAGTAAATTATTCAGTTTATTTAATGCCAAGCATTAAAGACTCGTAACTAAGAAGGAAAATTACAAAAAAAAAACCTATCGATGGGAAAAGAAAAAAGACTAGTTGAAATGCATAACTATAACAACACTAACAAAATTATTATATATAAAAAAAAGCAAATGGTATAATAATATTAATGGGAGGCATTAAATGGCATAACCAAGAAAGGAAATTACAACAAAATGTTTGACAAAAGAGCAAGAAAAGAAGAACATTGCAAGGGTACAAAGGTAACAACACAAACCAATGAATGACAAAATTGAAAATAAGACAAAAAATAAAGGTATTAAACACTCAACTTGCGAGACCCAAGTATAGAGACATAAATTAAATATTAGTGGCTCATATGAAAACAAAGATCACAACAAGCAAATGGACCAGATCCAACAAAGCAAACAACAACATAAAATGAAGCTAAATCGAACGATAGAGAGGCAAGAAAAGAGGCAATATAGTGTGCTTGAGTCTTGGTCCACAGTAACAATAGATGTTGCTTTATAGTAAATAAATAGTAAACTATTTGGTTTATTTAATGTTAAGCATTAAAGACTACAACTAAGAAATAAAATTACAAAAAAGGCCTACCAATGGGAAAAGAAAAGAAGACCAGTTGAAGGACACAACTATAACAACACTAACCAAATTATTACAAAAAAAAAAAAAAAAAACAAATGGTATAACAATATTAATGGGAGGTATTAAATGACATAACTAAGAAAGGAAATTACAATAAAACGTTTGGCAAAAGAGTAAGAAAAGAAGAACATTGCAAGGGTACAAAGGTAACAACATAAATCAATGAATTACAAAATTGAAAATAAGACAAAAAATATGGGCATCAAGCACACAACTTACAAGACCCAAATATAAAGACACAAATTAAATATCAATGGCTCAAATGAAAACAAAGATCACAGCAAATAAATGGACCAGATCCAACAAAGCAAACAACAACACAAAATGAAGTTAAATTGAACAAGTAGAGAGGCGAGAAAAGATACAACACACTGTACTTTGAGTCATGGTCCATAGTAACAATGAGTATTGCTCTATAGTAAATGAATAGTAAACTATTTAGTTTATTTAATGCCAAACATTAAAGATTGCAACTAATAAAGAAAATTACAAAAAAGACCTACCAATGGGAAAAGAAAAGAAGACCAGTTGAAAGGCACAACTATAACAACACTAGCCAAATTATTAAAAAAAAAAAAAGATAAGTGGTATAACAATATTTATGGGAGGCATTAAATGACATAACCAAGAAAGGAAATTACAACAAAACGTCCGACAAGAGAGCAAGAAAAGAAGAACATTGCAAGGGCACAAAGGTAACAACACAAACCTATAAATGACAAAATTAAAAATAAGATAAAAAATAAAGGCATCAAACACACAACTTGCAAGATCCAAATATAGAGACACAAATTAAATATCAATGGCTCACATGAAAACGAAGATCACAACAAGCAAATGAACTAGATCCAACAAAGCAAACAACAACACAAAATGAAGCTAAAACAGACAGTAGAGAGGCAAGAAAAAAGACAACACAAGTATACTTGAGTCTTGGTTCACAGTAACAATGGGTGTTGCTTTACAGTAAATGAATAGTAAACTATTCAATTTATTTAATGCCAAGCATTAAAGACTGCAACTAAGAAAGAAAATTACAAAAAAAGACCTACCAATGGGAAAAGAAAAGAAGACTAGTGGAAAGACATAGCTATAACAACACTAACCAAATTATTATAAAAAAAAATTGTATAGCAATATTTATGGGAGCCATTAAATGACATAACCAAGAAAAGAAATTACAACAAAACATCTCGCAAAAGAGCAAGAAAAGAAGAACATTACAAGGGCACAAACGTAATAACACAAACCAATGAACGAAAAAATTGAAAATAAGGCAAAAAATATGGGCATCAAACATACAACTTGCAAGACCCAAATACACAGATACAAATTAAATGTCAGTGGCTCACATGAAAATGAAGATCACAACAAACAAATGGATCCGATCCAACAAAGCAACCAACAACATAAAATGAAGCTAAATAAGATGGTAGATAGGCAATAAATGAGGCAATATAATGTACTTGAGTCTTGACCCACAGTAATAATGGGTGTTGCTCTATAGTAAATGAATAGTAAACTATTCAGTTTACTTAATGCCAAGCATTAAAGACTTCAACTAAGAAAAAAAAAATTAGAAAAAAGACTTACCAATGGGAAAAGAAAAAAAGACCAGTTGAAGGGCATAACTATAACAACACTAACTAAATTATTAAAAAAAATGCTATAACAATATTAATGGGAGGCATTAAATGATACAACCAAGAAAGGAATTTACAACAAAATGTCTAGTAAGAGAGCAAGAAAAGAACATTGCAAGGGCACATAGGTAACGACACAAACCAATGAATGACAAAACTGAAAATAAGACAAAAAATAAGGGCATCAAACATACAACTTACAAGACTCAAATATAGAGACATAAATTAAATATCAGTGGCTCACATGAAAACCAAGATCACATAAAACAAATGGAACAAACCCAGCAAAGCAAACAATAATACAAAATGAAGCTAAATTGGATGGTAGAGAGGTAATAAAAGAGGCAACACAGTGTACTTGAGTCTTGGTCTATAGTAACAATGAGTGTTGCTTTACAGTAAATGAATAGTAAACTATTCAGTTTATTTAATTATATATATATATATATATATATATATATATATATATATATATATATATATATATATATATTTGGAAAGAGTTAAGAGGTATAGTATCTCATTATTATATAAAAAAATTCTCACTATTTTTTACATGGAATTCAACTATTTGTTATTTATATTATTGAAAAATTATTAGATATGTTACGAGCATAACATCTCATAGAATTTATCAATATTACTTATATGTGAAGATGTAATCTTTTTCTCTCTCTCTTAATTGCATCCATTAGATAGATCTACGTGTCTGTTTCTTTAGTTAACTGGAATTGTCTCTTCGCTGGGTTCTTGATTTTTTTTTTTCCAGTGAAATAAAGGAAATACTTAATTTTTCTTAGTTAGCTTATAAATATTATAAAGTTGCTGTTATTAAACACATATAAGTATTTGAGTTAAACTATGAAAATGTTGCTATACTATATTGATTTGATTTAGTGTGTCTTTTTACTATTATTTTAGTTTATTATATCTCTCAGCTACATTTTTTAGTTTATTATATTATTTGGTTAAGTAGCATATCAACCATAATTAGTATTGAACACACAACATTCAATCAAATTGTCACACGTTGAAATGTGAATTTTAATTGCTATTTTTTTATTCTCAAATAACAAAATTCTAAAACAATAAAATAAAAATGCAAACAACCCAAGACGATTTTAATTTAACCATGATTTATGCTTCTTTTACCTCTTTTTTTTTTTTTTTTTTTTTAATATTTTGTTATTTCGTAGAAAAAAAATTTAAAATTAAAATTTGACAAGTGGCCATAGATCCAACACTAATTATGGTTAGTATATTAATTTAACCAAAAGACGTAATAAGATAAGTGATATAATAGAGGAATATAGTGAACCAAATCGATGAAGTAGAGGGACATTTTTATGCTTTAACTTCTTTGCACGTTGTTCTTATTAGCCATTTTTAGCATGCACAGTCAAATCCATCTTCCAATTTTGAGAACTATGAATTGTTTTTTTAGAGGCCTGTGAATAGGTTCTATGTTTTCTCGGATTCTATCTATTCATATTTATCTATCTTTCCAGATTGACCTTTGTTAAAGTTATTCAATCCTTTGGGGACTTTGAGTATTACAATGTGGAGCAACATCGTCCTGACAAGACACAATCCTACATCTTATTGCTCCATAATGCAATGCAATATCATGCCGTTAGAATTTGATTGAATTTGGTTTAATGTTTACGTTCTGTTTTGCTCTGTTTTTTTTCCCCCTCTAATGAATTAGGAAGTTTACGAACTTGTTTGAGTTGATTGTGTCTAGAAGTAGATGAAAATTTTGGGGTTTTTATTGCTTTCTTTAGGTTTGATTAGGGTTTGAGATTTTTTTTTTTTTTTTTTTTTTTGTTTTTGTTTCCTGGTGAGAATGAGCAGTTTGGAAAAGAATTAAGAAGGTAAAGGAGATTGATGATAGCAGAGAGGTTTCTTGGCGAAAAGAGAGAAGAATTATTCGAACAAGAGTGAGGATGAGAAATGGCCTCATAATTAATAAATGAAGAGGAAATTGGTAATAGAGGTAGAATGTGGGCCTTACAGCAGCAGCTTGATCCGCCTATGGATGAAGATGCTGACAGACTTAGGAACAAGTACGATGAAAAGGTATATACTAACATTTTCCTTTATAATTAGTGGTTAATGAAAACAGACGGCAATCATGTTTTTCTTGTTGGTGGCATATCCTATGTCAAAGAAGAAGGGATGAATCTAAGCAAAAATTTTGAATTACAAATAATTTGAAATCCTTAAGTACCCTAAACTCGAATTAATTAACGATTCTTTACATGTAGCTGATAATACAGATGAGATTGAAGAAACAGCTATAAATTTTAATCAAGAACTGAATTCTTGTTAATTGTGATGCCCAAGGCATGCTACAGTGCCAACAAAATAGAAGATCAGAATAGAATACTTGCTAGATTCTCAGAAGATTGTTTTCTATGCTCATTCAGTTGTTTCTTTCAGGAGTCTTCTACTTTGTTTCTCCTTCAGCTTGCATTCCAAAGCCTTGGTGTGGTGTATGGAGGTTTAGGCATGTCTCCTTCATATGTTTTCTACAACACATTTCCTAATGGAATCAAGGATCCAGAGGACGTGATTGAAGCTCTAACACTGATTATATATTCTGTCCCTCTGGTCCCACTCCTGAAATATGTTTTTATTGTTTGTAGAGCAAATGATAATGGACAGGGTAAGACAATCTCAAACTAATGCTGATGAATAACCAATAAATTTCTCTGATTTTTTTTCCTTTTTTTTTTTTTTTGGTGCAGGAGGAACATTGGCTCTTTATTCGCTGCTCTGTCGACATGCAAGAGTGAAGACTATACCCAATCAAGACCATTCCGATGAGAAACTAACAACTTATCGTCATTCTACATTTCATGAAAATTCCATTGCTGCAAAGACCAAGAGATGATTGGAAAGTAATACGTTCAGCAGGAAGAATTCACTTCTTGTTCTCGTCCTTGTAGGCACTTGTATGGTGATCGAGGATGGAATTCTCGCTCTAGCAATTTCAGGTTTTTAGGAAACAATGCTTCCCTTCTTACTTTTTCTCACCAAAATTTCATTTTAAAAGATGTTGATTATACCATATTTTGCAGTTTTATCGGCTGTTCAAGGAATTAAGTTAGACCATCCTGAGATGAGTAGTGGTATCTCCTTGCTCTGAGACTAAATAAGTTGTTGCGTTAGTTCCCATATCTCCTAATCTTTCAATGTTCATTTTCTTCTGACGGTATACCTTTTATTTTTTTCTCTTGTACATAAATTGTTATTGTTGTTGCTGTTACAATATTAGTAGTTCTGTTCTGTATGCAACACCATGGTACAGACAGGGTTAGTTGGATCTTTGCCCCAGTTGTCCTCATCTGGTTTCTTTTCATTGGAGGCATAGACATATACAATATTATCAAATATGATAGCAGTTCTCTCAAAGCTTTTTCACCATTGTATATATATCGATATTTCAAAAGGGGTCGGACAGATAGTTGGACATCTCTTGGAGGTGTTTTGCTCAGTATAACAGGTATACTTTTATGTTATGTTGGTTAATTTCTTTTTCTGATGTTTGAATCAATTTTATATGTTCCTTAAATTATTTAAATAACTTTATGGTCTTCAATTCTGATGTATAGTTGTGAAATATATAGGGACGGAAGCCCTCTTTGTTGATCTATCCCATTTTTCTGTGGCAAGCATACAAATTGCTTTCACAGTAGTAGTATTTTCGTGCCTTTTGTTAGCCTATTCTGGACAAGCTGCATACCTCCTAAAAAACTCGAATAATATAGTTGATGCATTTTATCGATCTATTCCAGGTTTGTTCTGAACTTCAGCTTGTGTGGGCCTTTGCGATTCTTGTAGACTCCTATTGAATAGAACATAGTTTTAGGTGACCTTTTGTTTTGTTGAAATTAAATGGAAGCATTTCAAATTGGATTCTTCAACAAAGACGAAAAACAATACAACTTAGTGTGTTTGTTAGAAATCTATGAAGTTGTATGTGCTTATGCCTCATTCTATGCCGCAAGTGGCCATCTAACACAATGAAATCTTTGTATTTTGCAGAAAGCATATATTGGTCAGTGCTAACTATTGCGACTGGTACTGCAGTTGTTGCTAGCCAGGCAACCATAACTGTAACTTTTTCATTAATCAAACAGGCTGCTGCAGTTGATTGTTTTCCTACAGTTAAAGCTGTGCATACATCAAAGAAAATGTTGAGCCATATATACATTCCAGAAATCAATTGGATCCTTATGATTCTCTGCATTGCTGTGACAGTTGGTTTCAGAAATCAAAGCCAAATTAGAAATGCTTCCGGTATGTGTATTCTCTATGAATTTGTCAGCTCTAGAAGTTAACTTTCGTTCTTACACAATTTATTTTCTACCTTCATTTTTTTCCCCCAATATAAAGATGATATTAGAATTACATCAATGGCATGCCATTTCACGTCTCAACAGGAACTGCAGTTGCGACAGCCATGCTGGTGATGACATCTCTAATCATTTTAATCATGCTATTAGTATAGTGATGGCACTGGATTTTTGTCCTAATCTTCACTCTGTTATCTCTGGTTGTGGAGGTTACGTACTTTTCTGCTGTACTCTTCAAGATCAATCAAGGTGGTTGGGTTCCTCTAGCAATTGTTGCAGTCTTTTTTATCATCATGTGTGCTTGGCATTATGCTACAATGAAATGCTCCGAGTTGAGGAGCACAGTAAAGTTTCAATGGCATGGATTCTTGGGCTTGGCCCCAGCTTAGGTCTGGTTCGGGTGCCCGGCATTGGACTTGTATACACTGAACTAGCCAGAGGTGTTCCTCACATCTTTTCCCACTTTGTAACCAACCTACCTGCAATCCATTATGTGGTTGTTTTTGTCTGCATGAAGTACCTTTCAGTCCATACAGTCCTAGAAGAAGAGAGATTCCTTGTAAGGCGAATTGAACCTAAGGACTTCTATATGTTTCGTTGCATTGCAAGACATGGCTATAAGGACCTTCATAAGAAGGATGATGATTTTGAGAATAAGCTCTTCGACAACCTTTTTCGTTTTGTCAAGCTTGAGACCATGGTAGAAGGGTGTTCAGATTTGGAGGAATATAGTTTAGATGATGGGTTGGCTAAGGAGTTACGAAATGGCCTTTCGGGTTATAGTGGCAATGAACTTTCCTCCATTATCGATGTAACCATCTCTTCAGTAGGTTCAATGACTGTCAATTCTGCAATGCCATCTAATCAGGTGATCAGCCAAAATACGTATCGTGAGTTAGAACATTTGAGAAACAGTAGAGATGCCGGAGTGGTCCACACTCTAGGGAATGCAGTGGTTGTAGCAAGAGAGGATTCAAGTTTATGGAAGAAAATAGCAATTGATTATGCGTTTGCTCTTCTAAGAAAATTGTGTAGGAAAAACATTGTGGTCTTCAATGTTCCTCATGAGAGTCTATTGAATGTTGGACAAGTTATCCATGTATAAACAATAGATCATGTTTTTGGTCTTTTTCATCCAACTTGTTGATTCAAATCTGATTTTACTTTCGCACATTGTGGTTAGAAATGATGGAAAATATCATCTCAAAATCCATCTTGAAGGTAAAGTTGAGTTGTTCACAAGTCATATGGAACCTCATCTAAACATGCTTAAGTTGGTTTTAGTTCTTTCCCTTGAGAGATACAAACAACTTAGAGCAGGGATCATCAAGTGAAATTTTACCTAATCATTTTTTGTCCCATCTCTAGCCTCAAGGTATTTGTTATGGATCATCCATGACATCATGATTCCTCTAGAAAAAGCTAACCAACCAAGAGTGGCATCCCAACAAAATAATGAAAGTAAAACAAAATGTATCATGTCCTCATGTCGAAGGCGATGGCTTATTCTAATAACTTGATAGATGTTTCAGAGCACTTATATTTTGCTTGTCCTCATTGAATATTTGTAAGAGATTAAATCCCATCAGTCACGTTCTTTTCTGTAACTCAACCTGAATCTTATATATAATGTTCTTCGAGTATGTTAGTATTTTGAGTTCTCTTTAACTAGTTTTGGCCTATATTTTTGTAAGTTAAGTTTAGCTAGTTTTAACCTATCTAGAATTCATGAAATTTCAACGATTTTTTTGCCATTTGAATTTAAACCGAGATAACGACCCAAAGTATGAATCCATCCAATCTAGCATCTCAAAAATTAATGTTGACTTCTCTGAATTATATATATATATATATATTATCGCACTTTGATCCTTTTAGAACCACAAAAGCAAAACCGAAGTTACTAAGTGTACGTTTGGTAATTAATGAATTTTTTTTTGTCGGCTTTTGATATATATATATACATATATATATTTTTAAAGAAAACCTTTGCAAAATGTGTCGGTAAAATTCTAAATTTATTTTGTAAATTATTTAAAAATTAAATGTTACAAAATACAACTTTTGAGTTTTATTTAACATAAAAATATTTTAACATTACATGTTATCAAATATTTTTTTATAAGAATAAATTATAAATTAATTTTTTAATTTTAAGAAACGAATTAATTAGTCTCTTCGATTTTAAAAATTAATTTTTTATTTTTGTTTTATGTTTTTTTCATTTAATTTATTTTTTTATTTTAAAAAATAAAAAGATATAATAGAAAAATTTATGAAAAAAATATTTTTTTAAAAAATAAAATAATATTAAATTAAACATAATCTGATTAAATAATTAATTTTTAAAATAAATATAAACAGTTACACCTAATTTATTTATTTACTGTAACGAAAGAGACAAATTTATAATTTATTGTTAGCTATAACAAAAACAAAATCCCAAACGCAGCCATGATGATGCCATCATTTTCGAAGCTGTCACAGATTTATACAATGTATTATATAATACGCTGCAAGCAAGCTGCATGTCTGCAAACTGTGACATGGCTGTGGCTTAGTCTCTGTGAAAAGTTACGGAAACCTTTGTAAAAAGCAGTATAACTGCGAAGTATTTTGTAGAAGGGCACCAACAACGCTAGACACCCAAATTTTCTTCTTTCCTCTGCAAAAACTAAATTTGGGTTGTCTTCATTTCCTCCTCTTGCTTCATGGGTATGTCGTCTTATATATATATTTGGATTTTTGTTGAATCCTCAGTATCTTCACTTTGTTGGCACTAAATGAATTAAAGAAATTTGAACTTTGGCTCTGAAGAAAAAATCAAACTTGGAGAAGTTGGCTCTAATTATCTATTGTCAACCTTTAAATATCTTGTTTTATATACTGAATTGAGCTCATTTTGTTTACCCCATACATAGTGTCTGTGTTTGGTTTAGATCTCAATTGAGATTTTATTGGTTTTGCTTGAATTGAAGAAGCAGCGGCGTCTTGGATTTGGTTTATGCATTATATCTTGCAGTTGAGAAAATAAGAAATTTTGGATCTTTATATCGTTTTCTTTTAAGTTGAGTTCATTCTTGTCTGATTTGTGGATGTTGAATTGTGATTGGTTTAGGTATAAGCACGAGGAAGAGAAAGTGATGGCATTGGACTAGGAGGTTGGTGGAAGTGTAAGGATCATTTAAGTTCTGCTGCCAATGGCTTCAGGAGGAAAGAGCAATGAAGAAATTGATTATAAAAGCAGAATCTGGGTTTTGGATCAGAAGCTTGATCAACCTATAGATGCAGAGGCTAAGAAGCTTAGGAACAAGTACGAGGATAAGGTATAATATCACCATTTGTTCTGTTCAATACCTTGCCATGCCAACTATTTCAAAGGCCAACAATTTTTTAATACAGTTAATTGGATGAGCTTGTTTATTATTTGTTTAATGTAATAGTAGCAGATATGAAACTGTTCAAAGATTTTATATATGTTGTTGAATTAAGGTTTGCATTAGAGTCGATGGCATGATGTACAGGCATGCCAGCCTACAGTATGGAAATAAGAAGACTGATAATGTGGTTGATTTACACCCCATTTTTATTCTCCGTGCTAATTGAGTCTATTTCTTTCAGAAATTCTCTAGATTATTGCTTATGCAGCTCGCATTCCAAAGCCTTGGAGTGGTCTATGGAGATTTAGGCACGTCTCCTTTGTATGTTTTCTACAATACATTTCCAGATGGAATTGAAGATCCAGAGGATTTAATTGGAGCTCTATCATTGATCATATATTCCCTCACTCTTATCCCACTCCTGAAGTATGTTTTAATTGTTTGTAGAGCAAATGACAATGGCCAAGGTAAATCATCAATTTGCCATATTGAAATTCAATTTTATTTGTAAAAAAATATGAAGAAATTTGTTTACATTACAATATTACATTAGTATAACGTATAATGGCACCTTAGTTTGAATATTGTTATGATCTTCGTTTGTGTATGTATTGCCAATGATCATTAATAAAAACAGAAATACTTTTAGTTGCTAGTATCTCTTTATGAAGCTGGAAGAGTGTTGACCTTTACCATCATTCTATATGGTGCTCTTAATTGGTGGCAATTTTCTTCCTGGTAACTTTATCTCTGACAGTTCAAGACACCTTAGTTCGAGGAAGAAAGAAAGGGAAAGGGACATGGTCGAAGATGTGAAATTAAACATGCTCAAACACGTCAACATGCAATATAAACCCAACTGCTTCCACACTATATGCATGTACTAAAAACTAAAAGAATAATCCCCAACCAGCCTCCTGAAGGCAATGATGTTCTCACTTTTTTTTTCTGGCTACATAAATGAAATGTATAGGATATTAAATGACCAAAAAAAAAAAATCGAAAATCTTGATGTGAAGGAAGTTAAGGATTTTCTCTTATTCAAGTTGGGAAAAAAACATGGATTTATTTATTATGGAGTGTCATATACATCTTGCTGTGATCTCACAAAAGTTCCATTTTTCCAGTCTGATTGGACTAACTATGAACTTTCATTTGATGGAAAAAAGACTAGTTATCATTGATCTTATATATAATTTTCATTTTATGCTACAATGTAAAAGGTTATTTATGTCCTTTCAACTTTCGATTTTCTCTGATATTGCGATGTATGCAATGATTTCATTTCCTGTTTTAAAAAGTGAAGCATAATGTAGCAGTATCCTTCTTTAAGCGAGGAATGTAGTTACATCTGAACCAGTAGCAGTATCCTTCTTTAAGCGAAAAATGTATTTATATCTGAACCAGTAAAGAACTAGTAAGTTTCTTGGAACTTATCCCATTCATAATGCAGGTGGGACATTTGCTCTTTATTCACTACTATGTCAACATGCAAAAGTGAAGACTATCCCTGACCAAGATAATACAGATGAGCAGCTAACTACTTATAGTCGTTCTACATTCCATGAGCAATCTTTTGCTGCAAAGACCAAGAGATGGTTGGAGGAACATGCCTTCAGGAAGAATGCACTTCTTGTTCTTGTTCTTGTTGGCTCTTCCATGGTAATTGGTGATGGGATTCTTACACCTGCTATATCAGGTTTCCTTTCCTTAGAACCACCATCTGTACCTTTTTTTTTTTTTTTTTTTACCAGAGCTGTCTATTTCACAGAATTGTGATGCAGATAAGAACAGTTTTTCTATAATCCAACATGCATATATGCCATGAAAATACAATTGTTGAACGTATGAATTTAGGAAGGCCAGTGGTTAGAGTCAACAAACTCCTTTAGTGTTTGCAGAGATATGTAGACATGTTTGTTTAGATAACTCGGCAGAGCACAAACAAATTGTCATTTAATTTCAGACTTTCAGCACCTTCTCTAGCATGTTGAAAGACTGTAAGAAGGAAAAAGTAGGAAAATAATTCATTTTTTTGTAATTGGCCGTGCAAGATGATATTGTTTTAAAGAAGTTTGGAAACTAAGAGTGAAAATTAAAAAGAAAATATTTGAAACTCAAAAAAGTGCCATAAATGTGATAAAATTATGTAATCATCCATCAAAGTCATCCAAGGCAAACATAATGCAGACGCTTATGTGTATGTGTGTCAAAGGTTTAAAATAAAAGTGGATTTGAAGTCCTTTGCTTTAAGTAAAATTAATAAATAATGTTTCATCTGTAACACATATCAAACTATGATAACTTTCTCGCATTTTATCTGGGTTGCAAAACATAATTGGAGAAGTTCCATACTAAAAACCATTGGAGTGATGAAGAGTGCATATGCTTAGATAGCCAGGTTATGTTCTGAACTGGTTTAAATGCTGCTGTCTTTTACACTCTGTTTGTCAAGAGGGATAGGGGAAGGATGGATAAGAGGGGAGGGATTGAGGGAAGGATGGATAGGGGGATGGATAAGATTTGAGGGATTGGGGAGGAGGGTTGAGTGTAACCTTCGTTTGGCAAGAAGGATAAGGACCCTCCAATCCTTCCTCATTTATAATTTCCAGTCCTTCCGATTTGGATGGATTGACTAATATTCTTCCATTCCTCTATAAATTACAATGCTTTCAATTCGGATGGACCGACTCTTATCCTTCCCCTCCCTTGTTAGCCAAACAACTAGATGGATGGCTTACATCCATCCTTTCTCCTTTCTCCCCTTCCACTTCTCCCAATCCATCCTTCTGACAAACAGATCCTTTATGTTGCTTAAGCACCTACGGCCACATGTGGTAAACTTCATTCCAATTATGATAAAACTGACTTCAATTATGTGGCTAATGCTTGTATCTTTCTTTCTTTGCTACATGTGATAGTGCTGTCCGCTGTTCAAGGGATCAAGTTAGACCACCCCAACATGAATAGTGGTATCGCCTTACTCCCAAAACTGAACAATTTCTTGCATTTACATCAACTATTACATTTGTCTGCTAATATTACATTTTGAAGTATCAATCAGTTATTTTTGTCTGTGCATCAGATGTAGTCGTGCTTGTTGCTGTTGTCATATTAGTAGGTTTGTTCTGCATGCAACACCATGGTGTGGATAGGGTTAGTTGGCTCTTCGCTCCAATTGTCCTCCTTTGGTTTCTCTTGATTGGAGGGATTGGCTTATTCAACATTTGGAAGTATGATACGGGTGTTCTGAAAGCCTTTTCACCGATCTACATATATCGTTATTTCAGAAGAGGAGGGAGAGACAGTTGGCTGTCCCTTGGAGGTATCATGCTTAGCATAACAGGTGAACTCTGAGTTTTCATTTGATTTATTTTTGCTTTCATTCTTCTTAACCCATTTGACATTCATCAAACTTGTGGCTAATGAACTGGTGAGTTGGATTCTTATTACCTTTCATAAAATTTTACAGGAACCGAGGCCCTGTTTGCCGACCTATCTCATTTTCCTGTACCGTCTATACAGATTGCTTTCACAACAGTTGTTTTTCCCTGCCTACTTTTTGCCTATTCTGGACAAGCTGCCTACCTCATGAAGAACACAAATCATGTAGTTGATGCATTTTACAGCTCTATTCCAGGTTTGCAATGATTTTCCACCATTTCTGTTTTCCTAGGGTGCCTGATCATTGTGACTGGAATGGCATAAAAGTGAGAGAGAAAATTAGGACCATCAAATAATATGTGAACGTGATTATTGTTATCAAAAGTGCATGGAAGTTGTGAAGACCTGTTGGCAAATGGTGCCAATATGGATAGAAAGCACTGAGAACGGGGAAACAACTAAATCCATTGGTGTGAAAGTATTTATGCCTAAATCTGTGCGAAAATTGCCAGCTTATTCAAGAATATCTCTTATTAAGCACTAACTCCCTCTCAGAAGAGTACGTGTGTCAGTGACAAACAGCAAAGCACTCACTAATAATAGGTGCATTTTTTCTCCAAAATTCTTAGAGAAGTAATTCGTATAAATCTTTGAAAAGGTTAATGGGGATTGTTCTGTTTATTAACTGAAGAACTTTAACGTATTTACTATGTTTTTTATCCTTTCCTCTTTTGTAATTGACCAGTTGGACGAATGAATGGGCCTAGCACTTTGTGTAACAAAAATACAAGAAAGCAGTCTCTAATAGTAGGATTCAGTCTCCCACCTACCTGCTTGAGTTATTAATCCAAAACATCTTTTCTTGTTCCATATTTGTGTAGAATATTTTATTTTTTCTGGAAATCTACAGATTTTTGTCAACTATGTTCGATGGCTTTTTAATTTAAAGCTGGTAACATTATCATTGTGCAGATATAATTTATTGGCCAGTACTTTTAGTTGCAACAGCAGCTGCTGTTGTTGCAAGCCAAGCCACCATATGTGCAACTTTTTCATTAATCAAGCAGGCTCTTGCACTTGGCTGTTTTCCAAGAGTCAGAATTGTACACACATCAAAAAGGTTTCTAAGCCACATATATCTTCCAGACATTAATTGGATCCTTATGATTCTCTGTGTTGGTGTGACAGCTGGTTTTAAAAATCAAAGCCAAATTGGAAATGCTTCTGGTATGTTCATGCTTTGTCAAATGTTATGAAGTCATACAGATCTCTCATATCTTTGGTAAAAATTTGATAAATACTCTGTATATTATTTCATGTCACAACAGGAACTGCAGTCGTGATAGTCATGCTGGTGACCACATTGCTTATGATTCTAGTCATGCTATTAATATGGCGTTGCCATTGGATTATTGTCCTGATCTTCACGGGTCTATCACTGGTAGTGGAGGTTACTTACTTTTCTTCTGTGCTCTGCAAGGTCAATCAGGGTGGTTGGGTTCCCCTTGTTATCGCCTTCGCATTTTTTATCATCATGTACGTGTGGCATTATGGTACCAAGAAACGTTATGAGTTTGAGGTGCACAGTAAGGTTTCAATGGCTTGGATTCTTGGGCTTGGTCCCAGTTTAGGACTAGTTCGTGTCCCTGGAATTGGACTCGTATACACTGAACTAGCAAGAGGAGTGCCACGTATTTTTTCCCATTTCATCACAAACCTACCTGCCATCCATTCAATAGTTGTTTTTGTCTGTGTGAAGTATCTTCCTGTCCACACAGTTCCTGAAGGAGAGAGATTCCTTGTAAAGCGAATAGGGCCAACGAATTTCCGCATGTTCCGTTGTGTTGTAAGATATGGCTATAAAGACCTCCATAAGAGATGAAGATTTTGAGAAAAAACTCTTCGACGGTCTTTACACATTTGTCCGGCTTGAGTCCATGATGGATGGATGTTCAGACTCAGATGACTACAGTATATATGGCCAGGAAACTGAGCAGCCGAGTGATGTCCTTCTGAATCACACTGGCAACACAATGCCATTGAACGTTGATGCAACGATTTCATCAGGAGATTCAATCATATCTGTTAATGGCCATCTGCAGAATAACACTGCCACTGCATCATCTGGTCTTCTAAGCAGCCCGGCTGAGGTAAATGAGTTAGAATTTTTGAGTGTCTGTAGAGATGCTGGTGTTGTACACATACTGGGGAATACAGAGGTGCTGGCACGAAGGGATTCAAAGTTCTGTAAGAAAATAGCTATTGATTATATATATGCTTTTCTTAGAAAGATTTGCACACAGAACAGTGCAGCTCTCAATGTTCCTCATGAAAGTCTCTTAAATGTAGGACAAATCATTCATGTATAGAGATTTTGTAGGGTGGTCAAAGAAGAGCGAATCCTGTCTTCTGTCTACAACTGGACTGGTTTTCTTGGAATATCAATTTTGAAGCCAAATTTTTTGTTTCCTGACATGGGAGCCATTTGAAGGTGACTGACAACTCAACAGACGCGATATTAGCTTCCATGATTCACGATCTGTCTGTCATGATTGGATTGATAATTGGCAAAATTAATCGAAAGCTGTTTTTTAAAAAATAAAATAAAAACACTTACGTTGATTGCGTATCTGGTAGCTTTTGTCTCCCTATGAAAGGCTTTTTCGTTGTTCAATCGGTTTTTTTTTTTTTTTTTTTTTTTTTGCTATCCAAACTTTGAGTTCACCTCAAGTTCAATTTTGTTGACGTGGTTGGTGAGATTTACCACGTGACAGTAAAAAAAGTCAAGTCAACCATGTTATGTCAACACTTGATATTCTTAGATAGTAATGAGCACTCAAATAGAAAAAACATCAAAGTTTAGAGAAAAAAATAATAAAAAAAGATTGGGTATAAAAAATATAGTTTTTTAAGAAATTTATTATCTCGAGATTGTAAAATTAGTCTAATAATTTCTAATAAATATTTTTCATATCAAGCTCATGGCATTTTTGTTACTTATCAATGGTAATTTTTAATACTCCGTATTAGTTAAAAAATATTTTTTTTAAATTCTAAACCACTTTACATATCTAAACAAATTTAAAATTATGTCATTTAATTTAAATATATTAAGGTCCAATTAAGATTATTTTTTTTTAAAAAAATAAAAGCTATATAAGATTCAATTATGATTGCCATTCGTGGAATAAATGGTTGGTCAACGGAGAAAGTTGCAAAAAATAAAAATTGCTTCCTCTATCCGAAGAGAAAAGTGACCACTATATCATGAGTGACATAAGCTTATTGTAACCAATAATTTAGTGAACTTTTTATTGTAATTTGAGATAGGATCGAATCAACATAAATAAGTTTAGTGGTGATCAAGCTTTTTTATTTGAACGTTTAAAATGTAATATTTTTTTGTAACAATGATAATAATAATAAAGATAATAAGTAAATTGTGAATTAAGCTAAAAAGTAAATGCATTGTTAAAATTTCTTATGCAATTAGCATAATAATAAGAAAATATACATGCATATAATTACAAATATTTTTAGAATTTAAAATTATATGACTTTCAATATCAAAAAGAAAGTTTTAATATATATATATATATATATATATATATATATATATATTATGCAAGCACAAAAAAAAAAAAATGCATGAAATTTATTTATAATAAAGAAAATGTATATCCAAGTACAAGAAGGTGATAGATAGTCGGTGTGAAAAGATCGAAATAAAGTTTTTGAAAAACTTTATTTTTGGTTCCAGCCATTGATATAAATATTTTTCTCGTTCGTGTGCTTCATTTTTAATTTTTTTTCTATTTCAATGCCTAACTTTTGATTTTTTTTTTTTTCTATTTGAGTGCTCGTAACCTAAAAGTATGAGATGCCGACGTGACAGAATTAACTATCACATGGTAGATCTCACTAAACACATCAACAAAATTAGGTCTAATATGAACTGGAGCACCAAAACAAATCAAAAATCAAAAATTGGGTAGCAAATCATGAGCAATCAATGGTTTTACACCAAAACAGAAAAAAAAAAAATTGATCACCGAAAAAGTCTCTCTCTCTCGTCTCTCTCTCTCTCTATCTATATATATATATATATATATATATATATAACTCTCTCTCTCTATCTATCTATCTATCTATCTATCTATCTATAGATAGATAGATAGATAGATAGATAGAGAGAGAGAGTTAACTTGGACAAATAAACACTTGAAAGATTATTAACTATCATTTTAAATACGAACAGTTTCACATACTACAAGTAATCCCTACAAGAGAAGTCTTGGAAGAAAGAATTTCTGTTTTTTTAGGAAAAAAAAATTATTGAACTTTTAGCATATGCTCTCATCATTTTCTCCATGAAAGTCCAGCAACATATATTTAATTTAAAAAGAAAAGAAACGACAGTTATTCTTTGAAAGTTGTCGAAAAAATTTATTTAAACTTTAAATAATAGAAAAATTTTCTCTTTATTGTTATTTAAAAATAAAAATCAAATCCAATCTGAATATATTCTTTAAAAGAAAATTATTTTTTTTAGTATAATAGCGAAATTATAAATATGTTTAAATGATACTTCTCATTCTTGAATTGTATTGGTTTAACCATGCATAATCTTGTGTTAAAATATTTCTCATTGATCCTTGCATTATAAAAAATTGCGATTAACTCTTCATTTATAAAAAACCTTATCAAATTTTTATAACCTTGTGGTATGTTTTGTCTTTATAATTTTTTCTTCTATTTACCAAATCTAATTTTTTTTTAATTGTTGATTCAATTCTTTTATTTTTAAATTGGAAGTAAAGGGAAATTTTTATATTATTCAAATTTTAACTAAATATTTTCTTACCTTTTCCGTAATTTCTGTAAATATAACTAAATAATCATTTTTATGCTTGTTAAAAAAAATTGTTGCTTTATATAAAATTGATGTGTAAAAAGATTTTTTCTTTCATGCTTCAATGATTGTTAATTCCACTTTGTAATATTATTTAGAGATTAAACTAACATACATGGTGTTTTTCTTTAACTATTATTAAATCCACGCTTACCAAATCTATTGTGCAATTTAAATGGGAATCTTGAAATCTAAAACTTATAAATAAAAATTATCATGACAGATCAAATTTAATTTTATCAAATTTTAATCTTTTTTTGTTTATTAATTCTTATGTAAATTAAAAACCCACATGTTCAACAAAATTTGGGTTGTTTGTAGATCAAATGAAAACAAAATTATATTTTCATACTAGAATTATGAAATTATAGAATATGATATTTTATTGTTGAGTTATTAACTAAATATTTAATATTTAATTCAAATATATTTCAAAATTGCATGATAATTCAAGACAATATAATTTTTTATTTAAAAAAAATTTTAAATAAGCTTTAGAAATTAAATTGAAAAAGGTAATCTTGGACGAATTAAATAATAAAACTTATATATTAACTCATACACCCAAGGCTCCAAGTAGAACTAGTCTGCTAGGATTTGCAAGAGATCACTATCACTAGGTTACAAGCTCTTTTGTCTTTATATGTGTGTGTGTATTAACTCACACACTCAAGGCTCCAAATAGAACTAGTATGCTAGGATTTGCAAGAGATCACTACCACCGAGTTACAAGCTTTTTCTTCTTTATATATATATAATCATTAATTATGAATCTACACCGAATGTGAGATACTAATGTGCTCTTTCAAAATACCTATGTCGAAATTTTTAACAACGACAATTCATAATACATTTCTTGCAAAAAAAAACAACAATTTTTTTAAGGATAAATATATTCATCTATCGTCATTTAATAATCAAAATCTTTTAACTTTTTAAATTTTCTAATTAAATCCTATTTGTTTCTGAAAAGTTTTGAAATTTTAATCTATCTTTTCAATCTTTTTTTTTTTTTTTTTTTTTTTTTTTTTTTGCATTTAAATCGGAGGTATTTTGGTCAAAAAAATTATTTGGCTAAAAAAATTGATCGGAAGAACATTAAATATTTCAAATACTTGCGTGGACAAATGAGATACAATTAAAAACTCGAGTATTATATAAAAATAGACGAGTATATTTATTTTTTTAAAAAAACTAAAAATAAATAGGATGATATATTTTATCGTTTCTTTTTTATTCAATATTAAATCTATTTTGATTGGTCCAAATGTTGAAAGGAATAATTTGCGAATTCAATCTTCTTTAATTCGTCATATTCAATAATTCTTTTAATTGACTGACCATATTTAGATAGACGTGGAAAAGAAAAAATTAAATTAAATTAGGAAAACAAATTTAAAAGTTATGGAAAATAATAAATTTCGATTGCGAAAGAAGTTCAAGTAGAAGGAAAACAATAAAGCAATAATGATTGATGATGTAGATCAACCTATAAAATCTTCAATTTCAATTGGTAATTTGAATTAGCTAATCTTTCGTAAAACCATTTTAATTTATAATAAAAAAGTAATTTTAATCCTTTATTTAGTCAATTAGTTTCTACAAAAAAAAAAAAAAGTAAAAAACTAATTATGCTATCCATTTTTTATATTTTTATATTTAATTAGATATCATTTTCGAATAAAAGTGTAAAACAATAAATTTTTTTACAATTAAATTTAAAATTTTAATCTTTGTAAAATTTTTGTGAAGCTCCAATGGCGAGAATAATGAGAACTATTTAAGTTTATTTTGTTGAGATGAATTTTTTTATTTTCACAAAATTTTTATTTATTTATAATATCTAGATAGATATGGAAAAGGAAAAATTAAATTAAGAAAAAAATTTAAAATTCAAATGCAAGGCAAGAATAGTAACTAAGTAACCATGGCCCATGGGACCGCAAAAGAGAAAATTATTGGTGATCTTAATTAAAAAAAAAAAAAAACCATAATAATTGCACATGAATCTCAAAGTCATAATGTTTCTCGATATAATAAAAATTTAAGAATTTTTCCTGTAGTTATAAAGGACATATTTATATTTTAGGAATTAAATTTTAAAAAAATGATAGGAAATTCAAATATATGGTGGCATTTATACTACACATGGATGCTTAAAGAACTATAATTCTGATATCAATTAGGAAAGTCTTGTAGATATTTTTTTAGGGTTAATACCCTCGATTGTCTTTATATGATAGGCTAATTTTTCCATCCAAAAAAAAAAAAAAAACCTCTAATATGTTTTTATATTTTTAGCTAGTTGCTAATCTATTATTTTAGTTACAATTTTTGACTAAATTAAGTTTTGATAAAATTATTTTTATTATTCGACACAAGTGATCTATATCTATTAATATAAAAATTAACTATTAAACATTGGTTGAAAATTTTGACCAAGAAGATAGGTTAGAA